TGAAGACATCAACTACAGTTGCAGTTGATGTCCGATGGCCCCGAAGGTCCACAATCCATGTAGCCAAACCCATGGGGTTCGGGTTGGCTGGCCTGAGGGTGGGTTTAGGGTTTGCTCAGGGTGGGTTTGGGTTGTTGTATTTTTGCTTAGGATTTGTCTAGGGTTGGTGTAGGGCTGGTTAAGTTGTACGAGGAGCCCTAAAAGTGACTTCTGTGTGTTGTCGTCTTTCTGCCCAAGGGAACTCATCCGACTGCCGGTGCCAGGCTTGAAAGAGAACATCCAGTCGACCGAGAGAAACGCTTGGAAGAGCTGCAGCAACAGTGTGCCTTGCAGAAATGAGAGGTCAGAGTGGAGGTTGATGAGTGAAGGTGTATATATATATATATATATATGTATGTGTGTGTTTTTGTTGCTTTGTGTTTTGCTTTTTTTTGCGGGGAGGGGGGTGCTGTGTGTGTTTGGTTTGGCAACTTTTCACAAGCAGCCAAACGTGTTCTCTAGATAGCCGGCACGGCTTCATGGTGACGTGTCTTTGTGCAACGACACCTTGGCCTCCGTAGCCTGGCACCTGCAGCATGACCAGTCCTGGGGACTGGCTTCGACTTCGACTTGCCAATACTTGATCACGAAAGCTAGCTTTAGCTAGCTGAAGTTTCTCCTTGCGTAAGCAAGGTAAGGGGCTCAAATGCCGAAAGATTGATTTTTTCAATTATTTGAGCCGAAAAGATTGAAAAACATCAATTATTTAGACCCCCCCCCCCTCCCCCCCCCCCGGTCTCAGGCTCGATTCCTCCCTGGTCCATCCCCCCCCCCCCGGGCAGTGGCTCAGTGTTCAGCAGTCTCGGTTTGCCCGTTTTGGACTTGGTCCTACGAATTTTTACATGTTCCGCCGATTCAGCTTGTTCATTTGAGACCTCAGTCTTCTCGGTAAACCACCTCGCAAGAATCTTTGCACACGCAGCATGCAGAACCTAGAGGTGCTTTCAGACAGCTTCTGACGCCTCTCGTTGTTTTCATTTTTCAAGGTTTGCCACGCCACCATGTGCGTTTGCGTGTCGCATCTTACGAATCTTGCCGGGCCTCTCGTTGTACACAAGCTACCTATGAATCCACTCTGTCACCGACCCATCTCATGCAACAACTGCTAGCTTTCGTTCACCCGCTCCTCAAGTTTGGTATTGCCAATGCTGACGATACAGATAGATTAAACGGATTCAGGGCCTCTTGTGGGGTAGCCCCTTTGCGTGACTGTTTCGCCTTGTTTTCTTGGGGGATTTACACTGAAAAGCAAACAAAACGATGTTCTGGGGACCACTTCAAAACATGAATTTCTTTAGTTTGCCCGTATGTTGCCTGGATTTGTTTTGCAAACAGCTTTCCATTAAAGTAAACCTCGAACCAGCCACAAGGTTCTGAAGTAGGAAATAATGCCACAATAGCAAACCTGGGATTTTTTGTGGGTCCGACATTGCCCGATGAGCCTTTGAAAGAAACACCAGCATGAAGCTCACCACCTGTTCTGAAATTTGAGACACCCGTTTGAATCAGCTGATTGTGAGCTTGTTCTGGTGTTTATTGATGTGTTTGGTAGCTCTCAGGCCCATTCGGCCCCATTCACTGCCCTTAATTTTGGAGACCATCCAACGTTACTTGGATCCAGATTTGGATCCCAATCGAAAGTCGAAACCTATGGGGCGGACGCATGAAAGGGCATGGCATTACGATTTTTTCCAGAACAAAAGCTAGTTCAAGCCACGATTGGCTTGACATGGCTTGACTTTGGTCGTGTCAGGATCAAGCTTATATCAAGCCAATGGCGTGAAAAACTTTGCACTACTGTTGCTTTCAGCTGTTGAGTGCCTTTGGCCATGGCACCAACATATTTTCTTTCAGTATGTGCGGGTAAGACTGAAGCTTCCTGCCCACTTCTTGAATTGAGTGATCAGTGCTATGGCTATGATGCTATGTGTAGCATCAGCACCTACTCTCACAGTCACTCGAGTGGGTTTTGTTGTTGTTTCACCCTGAGCCCTACATATGTCATACATATACGTTTATGCATTAGTTTGGCAAAGGGAGGGATGCGTTGTGCTTACCAATGCCATCGACACCTGCGTGGATGTGTCACTAGATTGGCCCGGAACCTAGGCCAGAGCCCAATCGAGCGTCAGGTACAGAGATCAAGTGCCTCATCAACAGCACCTCCGAGGAGTGATCTTAAAGAAGAGTGCGCGAACCCCCAGGCAAACACAGAGCTATGTGAGCCCTTTGAATAAACAAGGAACATAGAATGGAGAGGCCTAGAGGTGCAATACGGATTCCGCGCCATAGCAAGGGGAGCCAAACAACAAGTATGGTCCTTAAGCGCGCTTAAAAGTCACTTTTGGTCACCAATAGTCGCTGTTAGGTTGCAATGGCTCCCCTTGCTATGGCTCTGAATCAGTATATGATGGAGCGTGGCAGGAAGGCAAGACGAGCGAACCATGGCACAACTGCGATTGAGATGTGTACTGTGCGACGGCTGGCCATGCATGTTCTTTGCAGTATTTGGTTTGTGCTGCCACTTCTGCTGACATCAGGTTGTGCCTAGGGTCTTGCCAATCTGCAAGAAACAGTCATACACAAGCAAGCATAGGGCAGTCCAGTACCCCTTGCTGACCTTAATGGCAAACTGGCCCATGAATCCAGAGTTGAAACTAGACAAGTCTTGTGCCAGGTCGAGTTTTGCTTCTCAGCATTGGGTGAGAATTTGGCGATGGAGAGTTGTAACATTGTCTGTCGCACCTGCTTTTTCGATTCGGGCCTTGACATTGTATTTTCAAACTAATTGTTTGCGTCGCGGCAAAGGTCATTTGAAATGAACCAGTTGCACTGACACTCTTGACAACCTTCCGCATCCCTCCATTTCAACCCAACACGTCGAGACATTGTGTTGCTTGAGGCCAATGTCTCCAATGTTTTGCCCTCCATGCTCGCAGACATGTTGGTGTGTGCGAACATGTGTAAACGAGGAGGCTTCTACATGTTACCTTGCAGGTGATTTGGACATGTATTTCTTTGGTGGTTCCCAGGCATCCCCATAGCTTCTCAGGGCTTTTTTGGGCTTAGTGGGGGTTTCCAGTTATCCCAAGCGAAGTTGTTTTGTTTTGTGTTTATCCCACAGGGAATCTGAAAACGGACAGCCCCGTTTCATACACTACCCTTGCCTTGGGCATTTGAGTTGGCCATTTTGCATCACCCTGAAGCAAAGGCGACGGCGGAAGGTCACATCTTGCAATCAGCTGCCAAGTCTTGGCAAAATAAATTTCAACTTGGAAGCTGAAAAAAAGATCCTCTTTGCGTGGTTTCCTTTGAGTCCATTGGATCAACGGCAAATCCTGATCCACATGCCAGTTGTTCACTCAACTCCGCCCGGAAAGTCCTTGTTTGGTGAGTCCCAGCTCCCCGCTAAAACTGCCTAACCAACTATTTCAAGCAAGACCAACAGGCAACCGAAGACCAAAGGCCAAGAGGGTTTGCTTTTCCGTTGGTCACCAAATCCGAGGAGAACCTGCGAACGCGCACCCGGCTCATGTCCCTGGAGAAGGAGCTGAATAAGCGGGAGCGCTTGCTGCAGATGCTGGTCAAGCCCCCTGGCGCAGACGAAGCCCGCATCGATGGCTTAGTGTTGTTTTAGTGCGCGTTGTGTTTTGCTAGTTGGTACCCTTTTTCAAGGGTTCAAGTGGAAACCATCAGAAGGCCAGGTCAATGCTGGGACCATTTTGCATCTTTGCCCTGAATTGGATGGAGAAACAATGAACAAATCCTTCTAGGGTTGAAGGTTGGCTGAGTAAGATTGCTGAGTTTATGGCAAGCTCATGGAGCTCGCCATGAAGACCCAACCGCCCCCCGAACGAGTTTGTTTTTGTTGTTGTTGGGTGGAATTGCAAAGAACCTTGATGAGCTTTTCGCCTATTGGCTCCCGCGCTTTAAGTAGGGGGTGCTGTAGGACCTGTAGGGAAGGGTGTGTTGTGTACTTGGGATACTTGGGCTTGTTTCTTTGGAGCCCTTCTTTGGGCGGTTGTTTGTTTTGTTCAAGGCCTTTCAGTTTGAGAACAAAACAAATATCACGGGAGCTGAAGGATGAAGGGATACCAATCCCAACAGGGCCGCGCAACTGAAACCCGAGAATGGTCACAGCTTGCAAAGGTAGAGCCACAGCCAAATGTAAACATACAAGCTGCGGCCTAAATTGGGAAAACATCGTGGCAAACAAGGCTGAATTTGTTTTCGCATTTTGCAAGCATTTGTTCCCCGCTGGGGCGTACCCGAGGCTCAGCCAGGCCAATCTGCCTTTGGGCCCCGAGTTGGTGGAGAAGCTCCGAGAGGAGAGGAACTTGCTGCCCCTCTACCGCCGCAAGGCGCTCGAATCGAGCCCTTGCTCCAGGCTTTTGGTAACCCCGGGTTTCGGGCCCATGCGAACTCACGGCGGTGAACGGCCCCGGGGGGGAATTGGTGACTGGCTTGCCATGAGAATTTTGTTGGCTGGCTCAGAGTCCAGGTGAACTTGGTACGGGAGTCGGACCGGGACAGGAGCATGGGTCAGGCCAAAACGCATACCCGAACATGTGGGTGAGAAATGGAGGCGGGTGCAAGTGGGAGGGGTCGCACTGTCCCTTGGCGTCAATTTCAGAAAAACGACAACTGGAAAATCTGGCATGCAAGAGGTAGCACAACTGGAGCCGACGTGTGCTTGAGCACGTTGTGCTCGGGATTTCAACTCATCGGTTGCAAGCATGAGGGAGATTATAGGGCGAGTGGAGCAACTTTGGTTGCTTTGTGTTTTGATTCAGGGTTGGGACTTTTGTCAGGGCAACTCATGCCATGCCATGAGCTTCTTGTCTACACGGTTTCGCAGGCGCTTCGCTCGAGCTAGTGCCTAATCACACCACACCAGACTTAGGCAGTGCGAGCATGATCCAAGGACTTGATGCAGATTCCAAGCATTACTTCCTTTGCTCATTGCTTTGTTCATTGCACTTGCCTCTTCGACTTCCCAAAGTTGCTCCTCTTCTGGCCCCGTCCTTGCTTTCGGCACGTGACTCGAGCGACTCGAGCTCACACCCGGCCGGGCGGCCGGCCTAGCCACTGGGCGCAAAATAGCCAACCTTTTTGATTTGTTTTCCCAGGAAGCCAAACCGGGGAGTGGGGAGTGGGGAGTGGGGATGTTTCCTCCTTTTTCCAGAAGTTCACTTCTTTTCCGCTTTTTTCCAGACCCCCCAAAAGACCTCCATGGGTGTCTTCCTGGTGTCTCATGTTGCACCCCGTCCCCCCATGGATCTTAGGCCCATGGTTGCCATGGAGTCGCTGGTGCTGCCGCGGTGGGTGGCGCTGGCCATTTCCGGGGCCATCTTCCTAGGTCTCGCGGCGGCCTATCGCGGCCAGGGCGTGCTCGGGGTCTGGGCGGTGTGCTCCCAGGCGAGGGCGTGCGCGTGAGGGGTTAGCTGTGCAACCCTTTGCCCATGATCCCTACGACCCACAGAAACTTTGGCGACAGGACAAGCTTTGTGTCTGGATTGGTGGAGCCAAGGAAAATCAGAAGGTTTCAGGCGCTGCTATGGGATGGTGCCTTCCAGGTCTGCCTGAACATTACTGCGTGCCCTGAACATGAATTTCACACCCCTGACATGCCTCATATTGGAGACGTAAGGTTGGCAAATCCTAGCACGTAGATATTTTGTTCATGAATGAATGACCTGGTTTTCTGGCTTGCGGCAGCTTGCTTCTTGCCAGGTGGTTGCAATCATAGCCGTTCAGCTTAGCACGAAGCTCGGCAACAGGTTTGAAGATCTGGCAGAACTTTGCGTCATGTTGCTTTATTTGTTTGCTTGCTTGCTTGTTTGTGTGTTTTTAGTCGCTTTGCTTGTTTGTACTGGTTTGTGGTAATGGTCACCCCGGATTAGTAGCAAAACTGAGACTCTTGGAGGACCCCGCTGATTAATTTGGAGCCCCTTCGGTCCTCGTTCTTTTCCTTCTGGCCCCTTCCCAGCCAATTGCATGGAAACAGGAACCTGGATAACCTCTTTGGTTCTTGCCTGCTTGGCACCTTCTGGTCAATAGGGCTTTACATGGCGACAGCTGTTTTTTGATCGCGGTTTTCTGTTTGGCGCGCAAGGGAGTCCCCTTTTCGAGCTGGAACACCTGATTTGAATCAACGTTTAGTAAGACATGGACTTTGGAGGAAGCAGGACCTGCAAAGATTCTCCTGCAAGAGATATCAAGAGATCTTGTAGAGGGCGGAGGCCTCTAATTCATGGAGAATCCTCCCCTTGTGAAGAGATCCCATTAAGAGATCCTACCCGGAGATTCTGCACATACAGATCTTGCCAAAGGATGCTACCAAGAGATCTTGGGCAGAGATCCCCTACAAATCCTCCCTAAGATAATTTGCGCTGGTTCTTCATAGAGACCCTCTCAACAGATATTGCGCAGGACCTGCAAAGTTTCATGCCGAGAGATCTTGTTGAGGATTCTCTTGGAGATCCTGCACGTAGATTTCCAAGAGATCCTATCAGAAGATCCTTTTCACAGATCCTGCAAAGATATAATACTGCCACAGAGGTCTTCTGCAGGACCAGAAACATTAGTAGATTTTGTTCCAGAAAGACTCTTCAATGGGACCTTTCAGAAGGCTTCTGTTTGAAGAGCACGTGCAAGACCTTCAATAGTCAATAGACCCTGTGGAGTCATGTCAGCACAGTCCGCGCAGAAGCGAGTGGGCGTTTGTTAGTTGGCCTGGCTACGTTCATGCTACCTGCACGGATTCCTGTTTCACATGTTCACTAGTGTTTGGGGTCGCTTGCCAGGATAGTTTGTTCGGCTGACCGATTGTGTGTTGTTTGCGTAATTTGCTTGTTTTTCTTTTGCTCGGTTGGTTCGTTGATTGATTGAAGGGCTGGTTGGCTGATTGAATGTTTGGTTGCTTGGTTGTTTGTCTAGTTGGCTATTTCTTGTTGAACGATGTTTTTCATTTTGCCTTGGTGGCTGTTTGTTTGGTGGGTTTGTTGTCTGTTGGTTTGTGCTGTTGGTGGACGTTGTTGCGTGTTTGTGTTTGTGTGTGTGTGTTGCGTGTGTGGTGTGGGTCTATGTGTGTGTGTGTGTGTTGTGTGCGTGTGTTGTGTGTTTGCGCGTGTGTCTTTGCATACGTGTTTGCGGGCGTGTGTTTGCGTGTGCTTGTGTTTGTGCGGGTGGTTGTGCGCTTGATTGTCTGGTTCTTTTGTTTTTGTTTGCTTCTCTTGTTGTGTCTTTTTTGTCGCTGTTTTTTTTTGCTACTTGCTTTATGTCTGTTGTTTGTTTCTTAGCTACTGCATTGTTGATCTTTGTTGGCTGCTTGCTGGTGCATTTGCTTGTTTGCTGGTCTATTCGGCTATTGTTTGGCTTTTTGTGTTTGTTGCGCTTGTTTGAGTATATTTTCCATTGTTTCTTTGCTGTTGTGTGTTAATGTTTGTTAACCCCACAAGTGGGTGATGGTTTTTTCCCATATCATCAAAATCAGGCATTTCTGTTGGAGATCCACAGCTGCTCAGAGGTTCATGGATCATTGCTGTGCAGGTGGTGCTTGGGGAGTAGAGCATGCATTTTCTTGATTGCGGATGTTTGCGTTGCAGCCGCCCGAGGAAAATGGTGCTTAGGGACTACCCCTACCCCAGCGGCATTGCCAGCTTTCACTTCTTCTCTGTTTGGTTCGCGAGCACTTTGCTGTCCTGGGGCAATGTCTCGGCCTGCCCTGCGCCTTCTCCAGTCAAGAGCGTTCGATCTGTCTCGTGGTATGTGCGCCGCATCCTGCCTATCGCTGTCCTCCAGACCTTGAACGTAGCAACTCGGCAGGCAATGTACCGATGGGATGCCAGGTCGATGAAACTCCGGGCGTTCCACTCAAATAAGAGGAAAATTTTCACATTTGGGAAAAGACCAGGTTGGAAGGATCTAGAGAATAGGGTCCCACTATGCTCCATATACTGCCTATTCAATACAGGCTAGATGTGTACTAGTTTAAAGGTACATATGTAGAGGTACCTCCCCAGGCACGTGGTAGAGCATTAGGGTATGAAGACAAGCCAGAAAGGTTGCACAAGCCTGCTGCTTCTTGTTCAACCTAAGAGAGCTTCCACTACCCTCGTGCGTACATTAATGATGAATGGCCTGAAATCTCTGAGTGCCTCATCTGAGTTTTCATGTTTGACTACAAATCTGAGGCACCTTTAGCTTCGAGACGACTTGAACACTCTGCAAGCCATCTTTCAGGGTCTGGTCTTGAAGCGATCTTTGGCTGACTGAGCTCTGAAACTTCAAGCCATCCGGAGGTCTTGGGCATCACTTTAAGCCATCTGCTTTTGCTTTTTTTTCCGGAAACCCAAGCCAAGACCTCAACTCTTGAACATCTCAAGCCATTTTTGGTGAGAACAAATTCAGGTCTTGAACACCACCTCTCTGGTCTACATCGGTGCTGGGTTCAACGCCCTGATCGGCATCCTGTGTCCAGTGGTCACCGCCTTAGTGGCGGCGTGTCTGGGCTCCGCCTTCAGCACGCGGGCATGGCTCGGCATCCTGTTGGCCATCTGCGGGGATGCCGCCCCTCGGGCGGCAAAACCGCGCGAGGGAGCAGCTCCATCGGTGCTTTTTTTATTGCGGCATAGGGTTGGTTTGTCTATGTTTGGCTATGTTTCCTCTCACCGGAATGTGGCTCTTGTAGCCGTTTGGTGGCATTTGTGGCTTTGGTGGGTTTTGTGGGGCTTTCAGAAAAACAACAACTGGTACTGAGTGATTTACGGCAGGCGGGCATCACAATTATCACTGGCTGAGCATGCTGTGTTAATTGACAGGTTATTTTGAACATTTTCTGGCACCCTACCTGACAACTACCTATATTCGGCTTAGCTGGTTTGCCTTATGCAGTGCTGCGCGGCAGCCAAGTCCAAAGTGTGGATTCTTGCTATGTCCTCCTGTTGCATGTCTTTGCAAACACAAGGTGCCAACCCTGTCTTTTTTTTCTCAACGCTCAGTTGTCACAAAACAGACGCCGGCTCCGATATTGCAAACTCCGTTCTATGGTAATTCTGAGGGGTATTTCTGGCGTTTGGGACATGAGACCCCTTCTTGTGGCTGGTCTTTGGTTTGGGTTTGACCTTTTGGAAACGCATGTCTCCGTGAAATCAACAAAATCCGAGGTGATCTCCGTGGAGGGCGTGCACACCATCACCAAGGCGAAGGGTTCAAGTCGAGACAGATCCTAGTCGGTTCATAGGATGCATTCCATCTGAAAGTTGACGACCTGTTGCCTCCAAAACGAATGATGTCCTAAACAGGACACCCCCTATGAACTACTCAGTTGTTCAAAACCGACCTTTTGACCTTTTGGTTTTCCTGTTTTGGTCCGTTTTTAGTGGAGGTCCCAAAAGGTTAACCTTTTATGTCCAGGTCCTTTGGGCAAGTGAGAAAATGTCAATTCGGGGCTTAACAAGTCCTGGGCTCCAATTTAATAATTAGCTGTTCTGTTGGGGAGAGCGGGGTTGGGGATCGGGTTTGTGGGTCTGGAAGCAAAACCACCGCACGCCAAGCAAGTTTTCGATTGGGAAATCTAACTTACACCCACAGAGCCCTGATCGGTTCAGGCACATTCTATTTTGAGAAACGGCCGACCCAACACCATTGCCAGAGAAGCCAACGCCAGCCGGTTTTATGCACGTGTTCATGCGGCTATCTTCCGTGGCTTGAAGCTTGCGAACCTACAATCTCGAAAAGGCAATTCGAAACAGGTGCAACACCATGCTGCCTCGCAATGTGTAGCGGCAGGCCCTGCCGCCCTAAATATGTGCTAAATGCGAAAGTGGACTTCAACTGTTTTTGCGGGGCTTTCTTGCTCCACCCCCATGCTTCTCAGATTCTACCGGCACCGCCACACCCACTCGTTGTATCGTTTTGTACCCAGAATTTTGCCAAAGCAAGATATCCAGCTTCCCCT